CTTCCAAGACACCTATCGTCGGGAATCTAACAACCCTAAAAGTACGTTTGGAAAATTCATTTTTACCATTTTAGGAATTTTCTCACTTTTCTTCCAAATTGACATCCTTATTTAATGTTGTTTGGTAATAGTGCACTTAGATATATTTGAAATTTTTTTTCGATTCCGATAATTTATATTTCAGATATCATTCAATTTCAAATCGCAACCAGAAAATGGAAGCATATAAAGAAGGGCAAACAAAGCATAATCAATCACTTTTAGGCATAACAACATTCATACTATTGTTATTTATGGGATCCCAAATAGCTACTATGATAATGCCTGATCCAAAAGTTGCTGAAGATTTAAATATCACAATTGCTCAAACGGATAAGTTTCGGAGATCAAGTAATTATGAAATACTATCTGATTCACCACAAATTACTGAAAAAATAGAGCGTTATCCAGATCGCAAAATGTTGACAAATCCATTATACGAAAGAGCATTTCCTTTAATCAAAGAGAATAAAGAAAAGGCAGAAGCAGTTAAAGAAGCATTTCTTCATGCATGGAATGCATACAAAGATCGATGCTGGGGTGAAGATGAATACATTCCAAGCGGAGATCGATGCCATTCGCACCTTCATGCTGGTCTAACAATCGTAGATTCCCTGTCAGTTAGTATACATATCATGGGTACGGCGGCACTGCGCGCCTCCTTACTCATGATATGTGAATTTGACACTTTACGAAACCGTTAACGTATATTTTACAACACAAACGACAACATTAATTTAACCTTAAATATTTACAAAACCACCAACCACTTCACCTCACTAATGTTTTCACAAACGACTTCACTAATGTAAAAATAAACGTTCTCACTTACAAAAGTATTGCAACTCCTCCCATTGCTGTGCTTCATATAACAGCTCATAATCTTCTGACTCACTTTCTTCATATAGGTCAAAATCACTGTCATAGTTTATACCTGTAAGTTTTGACAAAGCTAATGAAACACGCTTACCGTTTGTATCATATGCTTGTATAAACTTTCCATTATGTTTGTTGTCATAAACGCTCAAACTAACTTTACCCTTTCTCCCTCGTATCTGATAGAATGTATTTTCACGAGGAACGAAGAACAAATTCTTGAACTCATGACCGTTGTAGTTTGTTATCTCAATAGTTTTCGTCATTTATATAAAAATAAAATAAAAAATAAACTTAAAAATTAATGATATCACCACCCTCACACGTATGAAAACATAGCACAAAAATAAATTTAGGGTAGATGGGTAGATCTACCCTCATTTCTACCCTCTTTTTTCACCCTGTTGAATTCATTGCTTTATAACTCTCTTCCTTTCTCCAACTCTTCTAACTTCTTCCTAAGTTTAGCAATGTTGTCCTCATGAAGTTTAATCTTCCTTAATATACCTTCTCTATCTAATGGTTGTTTTATCTTTCTAAACTGAACTCTACCATCCTTCATAGTATGAATGTAAAAACCTTCTGGAATAGTTCCTGATTTAATGTATTCTACCAAAAACTTTTGTTTCATTGCTTCAGTGACTTTATTTGTCATTTCAATCAAATAAAAATTTTAATATTAAATAAAAATAACGTTATTTTTCAGTAAGGAAACGCAGGAGTTTTACGATTTATTTGAGGAGTAGGTTCTGGTTTAAATGTTGGAGTCGGTTTAGGAGTTGACTTTTGAACAGGAGTTTGTACTTCCATAGGTTCAGGAGTCATTGAAGGTTTTGCTTGTGAAGGTGTTGGAGTTTGTTTAACTTCAGCTACTTTAGTATTATTTACAACATTTGCTTTATTTCTTTTCAACATCATAACTGCTCCTGCTGTAGCTAGCAAACCTAGTGGGAGACCATATCTTATATAAGGACTTGACCAAATGCTATTTTTGACAGGAGCTGGTGGAACACCTAACCTTGGTGAGACTGCTCTTTGCCATTGTGCAGCTCGTAAGAAATATTCAATAGGTGCTCCATAATCGTTTGGTAAAGTTTGTTTCATAGATGGTGAAGGTTCACGAGAGCTTGATGAAGAACTCATTTATAAGCTTTAAAAATAAACGTTCATCCTTTATTCCTCACTGTCGTCCGTAGCTAAGTTATTGTTGTAAGACGAGTTACGGAAAGTGAGGTGAACCGAAAAAGTGACACTTATTTGGTCGGATAAATTCCCTATATATTTACTTGTCAAAAAAAATCAGACTTTTTTTGCTTTAAAAAATTTATAAGTTAATTATTGAGAACGAAGGTGAAAGGAAATGGATATCTCTTACCTTTCATTCCCTCGAGAAAGTTCAAAAACTTGGGTGCAATCAGAACTGATTGCACCCAAGTTTTTGAACTTTGTATAAGGAATTGTTGGCTATGATGCACTGATCATGAATCAATACATCATAGCCAACAATTCCTTCGCAAACAGCGGGAAACTAGTTAGTATACAAGTCTTGGGTATGGTGGCACTGCGTTCCACTTTACCCAATACTTGTGAATTTGACACTTTACAAAACCGTTAACGTATATTTTACAACACAAACGACAACACTAACTTAATCTTAAATATTTACAAAACCACCACCCACTTCACTTCACTAACGAACTCACTAATGTAAAAAATAAACGTTCTCACTATCGTTCTCACTAACGACTTCACTAATGTTCTCATAAATTTTCCTCAATATCTTCATCATCAGTGTTAACCCTATTGTAGTCATACTTGAAGCCATAAACTTTCTCTAACTTCTTAACGTACAATTTACATAACTTACCTTCGTCATCGTATGGTTTAATGATATAACTATTTCTATCTTTATAAACAGTCAATGAAAAGTCAACTGGTCTCGGATGTATTTGAAAGAACATGTTATGCTCAGGAAGGAAGAATAAATGTTTAAATGTATGTTTGTTATATGTTTTGATTTGTATGAGTTGTTTTTGTTCTGTCATTACATCCAAATAAAATAAAAATAAAATAAAAAATAAACTTAAAATTAATGATATCACCACCCTCACACGTATGAAAACATAGCACAAAAATAATGTTTATGTTAGAATGTTAGATCTAACACGTTTTCTAACCTCATTTCTAACCTGTTGAATTCATTGCTTTATAACTCTCTTCCTTGGTTTCTTTTTAGTTGCTTTCTTCACGTCTGTCTCCAACTTGACTGTCTTTCTTCTTCGTCCGTAATGATACCAGTTACTTCCACCAGTCAATGGGTCAAATGGTCTTTCGTAAGGATTTCCATACATTCCATAGGACCATACGGAAGAACTACTGGTGGAGAAGAAACATTTTCTTTAGTTCCATCGAATCTATTTAAATGCATTGTTTCACCTTTCATCTGGTCATTAAAGTCTTTTGCGTGTTTTGCAAACTCATCGTCCTTTCCTAAAGCATTTTCTGACTCAGTCGCAACCAAATTGGATGCTTTATTTATGAGCCCTATTTTATTTAATCTTAACTTCTTTGCAACCCAGCCTCCAATCTTCCCTTTATTTGCATCTAATGTCTTCGAAACCCTTCCTCCACTCATTTTATTTACTGCGTCATAAGCCCCAAGTGCTTTTGCTCCAAATGCTAATGCTTTTGTTCCCATTGCGCCTAAAGCTGTCCAAGCTACCATTTACACCATATTAAAATCATCTCTCTTCAATATTATCTCATAAAAGTTCTCGTTACTGGAGAAAGTCAATGAAACATAAACATTCTCATTCATAAACTTCTTTCTTATCTCATCTATACGCTTCAAAATGTCTGAACAATTGCTAACATCTTCTACAACAGTTATTTCATCATGAATGACCTTCAAGAACAAGCTCATTTAATATGCTATTAAAATCATCTCAATAATGAGTCCATCCTTTCCATCTTTAGGTAGCACAACATCTTTCATTGAAGAAGGTTCGACAAGTCTTATGTTAAACTTACTGACAAAGTTTGTTATACTATAATGCTTCGGTGGCGAATACATGTAGTTTGAAAGACATAATATAGATTCTTCAGCAAATTCACTTATACTGGATTTTATAACAATGTTCTCACGAGACCAAATACCACCAATTGACAATCTTGTAAGCAATCCTGCTGAACCTTCTACTGTAAACGTCGATGGTAACATTCCACGAAGGTCATCTATTGACATCTTTGAGTCACTGAATTTAAATATTTTCTTAAAGCAATCGTCATTATCTAACCATGCAATAGCTTTGAAGTTTTCATTCGAATATACATCTGCTTCATTAAATGTAAAACCTGACTTCTTTGCAGAGACGACTTTAAAATCTATTGCATTTGTTTCAAAATTATATACTATGGTAACTTCTGAAGGTAATGGATGTCCTTCCGCAGTCAGTTGTTCTCTCACTACCGTTTGAAGCTTTGTGTTAAAAACTTTCATGTCATCTCCTGTGTCTAGGTTCACATACACAGCAACAGGAAAACTATCTTGCTTCTTTGTTTCATCATTATACCTCAAAACATTAAAGTTCTTCAATAATATTGTTCTTCCTGCTGGAATACTTCTAACTTGTCTTATTTCAATAGCTTTCTCACCTCCTACATACTCTACCCAGTGTCTTGGATATTCATAAGTATACTGACTTTCTTGAATTTTGGTAGGTTTCATCATAACGTGTTCATAGTATATCTTTATACTCTTGTCAGTTAGACTCGGTGCTATGTTCTGAATATTTCTGACTTGCATTTTTAATGAAGATAAAATGAAGCATTTAATACATGATGTAGATGAAGACATGAATGAAAGCAGTGAAAAGCTCAACAGTTCTCTCATTCTTCCTTTCAGTAAGGACTATGAGTTCTGTTCAAATGGTGTGTATTTCTATTGTGGAAAGATGGGTTCAGGTAAGACATTCAACCTCATTCGTCATATACTCATAACAGAGCGTTTAGGAAACGACTCTTACTATGACCAAATCATTATATCAGCAACTTCAGACTCTATGGATTCAACAGCGAAAACATTTATGTCAAAAGTTCAAGCCTCTGTCGTTAAAGTTCCAGACAGTGAACTCATTGAATTTCTTCAACGTTACATTCGACGTAAGAGGAAATATTATGCTATTGTAGAGTTCATACAGTCAGGAATGCAAAAGACTTCAGAAGAGATGGAAAGAATTATTGACAAACACCACTTACGTCAATACTCAGGAGTTTACGATATGAAACGACTGACAAACTACATTCTGTCAAAACTTTCAAAATACCCCTTCAAAAAGTATCCTTCAAACACTCTGCTCGTTTGTGACGACTTCGCCGGAAAAGGTTTAGTGTCAAAAGCAGACTCACCATTAGCTAACATCATAACTAAAGTCAGACATTACCACTTAACTGTAGCAATACTTATGCAAACATGGCGTTTCCTTGCTTTAAACATAAAACGTCTCATAACTGACTTCGTTATCTTTCAAGGTTTCTCACGCTATGACATTGAACTCATTTGGAAACAGTCAGGTATAACATTACCTTTTGAAGAAATTTGGGAAGCATATAAGTCTCTCATCTCTCCTCGTTCATACCTTGAGATTCATATCATGACTAATACCATTAAAGTCAAAAACATTCCATGGGAACGACCAACATTGTTTTAAAGTTTAACCTTCAATTGACTGATGGTAAACAAATTCCATGCATCTCTGTCGCCATTTCTGTTAATATTTTTGCTGTCATTCATATCATCCACTTCCCCATCCGTTAGCTTTTGAGGATATGTGTTAGAATAGCTGTTCTTAAATGAAGGCTTTTCACCTTTGAGAGCATAAACTCTATAACTTTCTGCATACTTTATGTTTGAACCTCCTGAGCCATCATTGACATAAATTTTTATAGGCTTCCACCCTTTGTTCATATTCCTGCTTCTTCCCTTAGCTCTTTTGTTCAGTAGTTCTACATCTTTATACACAGCTCCTGTCTCAGTGAATTCAACAATATTTTCATTCGTTAGCTTTACATTCAAACCCTTGTCGAGTATATTGTTCATTTCATACATATAAAAGGTTTTTATTCTATATGAAATGAGAAGCAAATCCATCTTAGCTGGTGCCGTTAATGTTCCAATTGAACCAACATCAAATGTTGACTCACGAACGACAAACAATATTGTCATAAAGAACTATAGTTCAGAGTGTTTGAAAGAAAAAGAACCAGAACTTAAGTCGGGAGGGCTCAAAGAGCCCATCTTGGCGCATGGCGCCGTGAATTTAAACTCAGCTTCAAACGCTAACGCTACATCAGATGTTAAGTTAGAGTATCCACCACTGGACCAAATTCTTTCAAGAGAAGCCAACGACAACCCTTACACAAATGTTCAAACAAATCCTTCAGATAACGTAGACCATTACCTTCTTCAGTTATACCAAACAATTTTACTCAAAGACGATAAGAAGCTTTTGACAAATCTTATAAGCAAGAACCAAATAATTCTAACAAAGGAGGACCTTGAAAATGTTATCTCACGAATAACAGGGAAACAATGTGTCATTGACTATCTCGACCCTGAAATCGAATGCTGTGGTCAAACTCCACTATTCATGAAAATAGGTAACATCCGCATCATTGAAACACCAGGAACTACAGGAGTTGAGTTTAAGTATAAATATTCGAACGAGTATACAAAACTATCTACTTACTATAAGCTTTGCTTGAAATATGTTTTAGTAAATTAAAGCAGTCAGGAGGGCTCTTTGAGCCCATCTTGGCGCTTTGCGCCGTCAGTCAAAAAAATTCAAGTTAGCAATTTGTAATATCTGTCCAAAACTTCTTCAACAGTATCGAACTCATCTTCATAATGCAAACCTAATCTTATTGACTTGGTGCAGTTTTCACTAACACAATATAGCGCTTTGCGCTCGGCGCCTTTGACGCCTTTTTCTGTTCTCTTGACTGGCATAACTAACTCATTTGTTTCATCAAACAGCAACAACCAAAGTTCATGACCTAATACATAACATTCATACTTTATATTTTTAGCTCTGAGTTCTCTTGTAAGCTGTTGCATTTAATATTTTCTAAAAAGTCAACTTCAACAGTCATTCGCACTGGTGCCTTCAGTTCTACAGGCTCTCCTTGAAAGTCAACAAGTCTGAATTGCATGTCTTTCAAATTATGAGGACTAATGCGAACCCATTTACCTAAATGAGTTGCTATGACAGGAACGTTTGGAATGAACATTGAATTGACTGCATAACAGAAGGATTTATATTCTACTGAACCTTTACTATTAACTCCTGAAATACCTGTGACATTAGCTATTTTGACTCAACGTACAAACAATTACCATAACATACGTATGAACAGATTTCATCTCAATCGTTTTGTCAACACTTTTCAAAGGAAATGTCATATGGTATGCTCCCAGAAGAAGTTTACTCTATGACTCATTCTTGTATCTTGAACTCTTTCTTGCTACTGAACTTCAATGTTCCTCAGAAGAGAGTTCGACATCTATGTTGTCAATAGTTTCTTCATTTATGAGAGTATCTATGACTCCAGCAATTTTATCTATTCTGTACTCGGCTCTGTTAGGAAATGTTACAACACTTCTTTTGTCATCTATTTCAATCTCTATGAAATCTGTTTCATCTGTTATGACAAAAGTTGCGATAGTATTGAAGTCAACAACTCTGAAAGCAAGCGCTTCATTCTGAAGACCTAAGTTTGTTTGTAGCTTTACTGTCCCGTATTCGTTTGGGTCTGTACTTTGCAAATAGAACAACATTTTATTCTCATTAAAATATGACTATTGCTGCATATGCGTATGAAACAAATGAAGCAAGAAGAGCACATGAACTAGTAAACGAAAAACTCAACTTTAACCATTGAAGGCAATGATTTAGTCATTGACGATGGAAAAACTAAAAAAGTCATTGATTTCGATACTTTTAACACTTATGACCCATTCATTACAACAAGCAAGGTTCCCATCATAAATGATGGAACGGTGCAATATATAAATTCTACAGTAGATGCCTCATTAGTGAAAGTATTAAATGTTCTCATTGAATTGTTAAAGAGCTTTCGATTTGACGACAACATTAAATGCCTAAAGAATTTAGTCATGAATGAGAAACAAATTCTCGGCGTTGCTGGTAGCAGTAATGATGTACACCTTATGACATTAGAATATTATAACGAACATAAAGATGAACTGAAAGAGAGAAGGGTGACACCGGACCTCAAGGACCACAAGGAATACAAGGAATACAAGGAATACAAGGAATACAAGGACCTCAAGGCGAAAACGGTTTGGATGGAAAGGATGGAAAGGATGGAAAAACTGCTAAATCATGGATATGGACCTTATAAATACTGGTTTAACAGCTGCTTCATATGGAGTTCTTCAATACCAAATCGGAAAGATATGGGCGGTACTTGGTGAAGAAGTTTTAAATGACGTTAAAAATGCTTTGAACTTCATTTCAAATGGTTCGGATACTATTAAAACTTTATCTGGTTGGATGCAAGAAACAAGGAGTCAAATAGATACTTAAGACGTATAGCAAACAATGCACGTACGGGATTGGATACTTTACGACAAGCACAAAATACACTAAAGGAAGCAAATGATATTCTTGGCTCAGTATCAGACATGCATGAAGATTGGCTTAAAGGTATTGACAAATCTTTAAAAAATCACAGTCAGTCTATTGCTGACTACAAGAAAAGTATAGATTTTTACATAGTGCTATGGACGTACATGATGGAAGCATAAGGAACTTACTTAATGCTAACAATAACTTACCAGGAACTATTAAAGCATTTATAAAGTCCTTTGTAAAACCCGGTGCTCTAACATTTAGGTCTTTGAGAGCAAGAGCATTGAAGTCAAGAGATGCAGAAACTCCAACAGAACCTACAGAAGGAACTGAAACAACAGAAACTCCAAAAGAACCACCAAAACCAACAGCTAATGAAATATTGTTCGAATATTTTCCAAGGTACTCTTTCTCATTGCATACATTCAAGAAATACTTAAGAAAGCAGACTTGACTTTAGGAGATGATGAAAGTTCTGTATATCTTTCGTTCCAGTTTCAAATAGCAGAACTTTTGAGACAGATATGCTTTAATGTATGACAACATCTCTGATTTCACAAGATATGATGACGACCATGACCCCGAACACGGTGAAGAAGAAGTTTTACAAACATCCATTAAGACAGGAAAGGTTTTAACTCAAAGTCTCATTATGACACCAAAGATGGCGAAGTGGACGTTCTTCAAGAGCTGAAGAAAAATACTTCTTCGGGAGGTGGTGGTAGGCATGAACTTGAAATAAATGAGATAGAAGAGAAATTAGCCGAAAAAGCAGATAAAGAACATAAACACAATATCTCGATATAAATGAACTTCAAGCTACATTAAATAGTAAAGCGGACAAAAATGAACTTGACGCAATGAACAAAGTTTTGAAATCTCATAAACACAACATCTCCGATATAAATGAACTTCAAGCTACATTAAATAGTAAAGCGGACAAGAAACCATGTTCATTATATAACTTCAGACGAACAGATTATAACGGACTACCATGGATATTTAACACGAAGTGATGAAGCGAAGACAAAAATGTTAATGAAAAAAATATATAAATACATTCGTGCTAAAGGTTATGACATAAGCTGTACTGTACAGTATGATGTAGCTAAAGCACCAGAAGCATTTGGTTATACCGGTGAAATTTATGCCTCTACTTTCAATGTTAACGGTGTATTAGTTGAACCAAGATTTATGTTAAGAGTTAAGGCAAAAATAACGTTTGAAGATGCTATTAAAAGTAAAGCTGACAAAGTTGAACTCGAAGCAACGAACAAAGTTTTGAAATCTCATAAACACAACATCTCCGATATAAATGAACTTCAAGCTACATTAGACAGTAAAGCTGACAAGAACCATACACATAAATCCTTCACTACTGTTAGAGCAGACGACATAATATTGAACTTTGACCTTGGTTCAAGTGCACCATTAGAAAATCCAAGTACAAGCGTAAAAGATACTCTTAACAGTTTAGATAAGAGTTGCAGGAACATTGAAAGTCATGCCAGAAACTTTGAAGCATATGAACTACCAACAATGTTAGATAAGAAAGCAGACAAAACTTATGTGGATGCAGAACTAACAAAGAAATTTTCGAAACCAGATACAATGACATTTACAACAGAAATTATAAATGGTGAACCAGCAACTCCATTTGAATTTGTTAGAGGTCTTCAACCAGATACTTTTGAATTTTTCTTGGATAATTCTATTGAACTAACATTACATTATAAAAGTGGAACAAATGCAACATTTCATCCGGGAGATACATTCCAAATGGTATTTAATGACATAAGTTCTTTAGAATATGTTTATAGAGTTATGAGCATATATGATTTAATATATCCTATAGGAGCTGTTTATACGTCTATGAATCCAATAAATCCAAACACTTTATTTGGTGGTAGATGGTATGAAATAGTTGACAGTTTTCCATTCTACACTAATACTCAGTCAATGAAGATGGGAGGTTCAAAGAAAATAGGTATTGAAAACCTTCCTTCACATATGCATAGGTTCAGTGGAAGAACATCTGTGGAAGGAAACCATTCACATTCAATAACAAAAAGAGGTTATACAAATCTTGCAGCGGGTTCGGATAGACAGGGAATGCATAGATATGATATCACAACTGACCCCAAAGATGTTAGCACAGGTATTTTCTGTGGAACTGCAGGAAATCATACACATGTTGTAGCTGGTATTACAGACCCAGCAGGTAATGGAAAAGATTATATGCCTCCTTATATAACAATGCACGCTTGGATACGAGTTGGTTAAAATCTTTAACTTTACATAAATGAGCTTGAAAGAAGTATTCGAACAACATCCATGGAGGTCATTTAAGAAATTCAATGAAGCTGCAAAGAGTTGGGGATTTACTAACAGAGCTGAAGTGAAAAGGTTCTTTGACAAAAATGTTGTACATCAAACAAAAATAAACCCTTACGACTACTTTTTACCAATTTACTCCAACACTCCTGACGCATACCAATTTGACACTCTCATTCAAAGCAGAAAAGGAGGACATAAACCATTCCTCATCTTCATAAATGTTAACACTCGTAAAGCATATGCATATCCAATGAAAAATAAAGGAACTCGTGAAGTGTTAAGAGTTTTACAAAAGTTTGTAGCAGAACATAACCCAAGTACTTTAACATCAGACCAAGACAGTGCATACCTCAGCAATGAAATCACAGAATTTCTCATTAAGCATAACATAACTCACTACACTACTGAAGACCATAACCATAACATACTCGGCATCATAAACCGCTTCATAAGAACGCTCAGAGATTTAAATCAAGAGCGAGACTTTACCGAAGAAACAATGAAACATTTTCTCGAAGTATATAATTCCTCAACACATTCTACAACAGGACATACACCAAATTCAATGACACAACAACAAGAAGAAAAGTATATACAAAAGAAACGAAGCCAAACACAAAATATCAGAAATTCAACACAATTTACCCTCATTCCTGGTACAAAAGTTCGTGTAGTTCTTGACGACAAACCGTTGACAAAGAAACGTTTAAGGTTAAGTAGAAACTATTATATGTAGACTCTACGCAAGGTAATGGATATCTTATAAAAGCTGCTGACGACTCTATTGCGTTTTACCCTCGACATAAATTAGTTGAAAGTAGTAATGGCAAACTTGCTGAAACCATTGACGAAGCAAAGCGAGGAGTGGTTATTGAAATACTTGGCTACAACATAAACGATGACACTTATAAAGTAAGATATGAAGGAGGTGTTGAAGATGTTATACCATCTAAGAACTTGAGAGAGTCAAAGCCAACACATCTGGGACCATTAGAGCGGGAGTACTGGAAAGACAAAAATATGCCAGAAAGAATAAGAAAATTCTTCTAAACTTTTTCATTAGATGTAAATCAGACATGAATGAGAACAGTCATGGAATTATTAATGGTCTTATATACGAAAAAAAGAGATCTGACATTGTGTCAGATCTCAGTAAAAGTGACATTTACATGTCAAAAAAATAGAATGAGTTTAAGTAATTAAAATTGAGGGTGAGAGTAGTATTGTATGAAATAATATCTCTCACCCTCCAATTCATCCTATGGCGCCGAAAAAATTTTGGTGAAATGCGACCACATTTCACCAAAATTTCTCGGCGCCATATAGAGAACTAGAGCCTGTGAGGTACTGATACTATCCATGTACCTCGCAGGCTCTAGTTCCAAGCCAAAATGGCTAAAAATTGCCCGCAATTGTTCACATTGCGGGCAATTTTTAGCCATTTTGGCTGGGAATTGGAGGGTGAGAGTAGTATTGTATGAAATAATATCTCTCACCCTCCAATTCATCCTATGGCGCCGAAAAAATTTTGGTGAAATGCGACCACATTTCACCAAAATTTCTCGGCGCCATATAGAGAACTAGAGCCTGTGAGGTACTGATACTATCCATGTACCTCGCAGGCTCTAGTTCCAAGCCAAAATGGCTAAAAATTGCCCGCAATTGTTCACATTGCGGGCAATTTTTAGCCATTTTGGCTGGGAATTGGAGGGTGAGAGTAGTATTGTATGAAATAATATCTCTCACCCTCCAATTCATCCTATGGCGCCGAAAAAATTTTGGTGAAATGCGACCACATTTCACCAAAATTTCTCGGCGCCATATAGAGAACTAGAGCCTGTGAGGTACTGATACTATCCATGTACCTCGCAGGCTCTAGTTCCAAGCCAAAATGGCTAAAAATTGCCCGCAATTGTTCACATTGCGGGCAATTTTTAGCCATTTTGGCTGGGAATTGGAGGGTGAGAGTAGTATTGTATGAAATAATATCTCTCACCCTCCAATTCATCCTATGGCGCCGAAAAAATTTTGGTGAAATGCGACCACATTTCACCAAAATTTCTCGGCGCCATATAGAGAACTAGAGCCTGTGAGGTACTGATACTATCCATGTACCTCGCAGGCTCTAGTTCCAAGCCAAAATGGCTAAAAATTGCCCGCAATTGTTCACATTCCCATCTTTTGTTGGTAAGACGAAGAATATGAAATAAATTATGAAGAAGATAATGATGAATAAAATATCACTTTTTATATTTTTGACACGTAAAGTTGTCACTTTTCTGTCAAACGGTTTTTATCGTTTTCGTATATAACAATGGTACCATTTATTTACACCAAAAAATAATGTTTATGTTAGAATGTTAGATCTAACACGTTTTCTAACCACTTTTCTAACATGGTCTAAAACTCTCGAAAATCATGAATTTTTGACATTTCCTTATGAAAGAAAAATAACGCTAATTTTTTCTAAGAAAAATTTTTATCTTGTATGTAAAGATATGATTTCAACAATCGGCACAACAACAATTCAAACTACAGCACCAAACTCGTTAGTCATGAATCCAACATCTATGTTAGTAGAGATGAAAAGCTTCATTCCTTCTTCATATACTTTCGAAACAAAAATCCAGAAGATAAAGCAAGAACTTTTAACAAGTAATTTAGACTGTAGTGCGAAAGATGAAACAAATGAACAGTATCTTTATGAAATGCAGGACATTATTGACCATTTACCCAAATTGCCTGAAATCCAACAACAAAAACTAACTATTCCTGAATTCGACGAAATTGAAGTCAAAACAACTGACTCAGTAGAAATAAAGAAGTTCATACGTAAAGTAAATTATGAATTCCTTGGTTTTCATTGCAACCATAAAGTTATGGACAAAGATTGCGACATGGTTTATAAGAATGTTTCTGACATATATAAATCTGAAGAATTTAAGACCTACGATAACTTTGTTTCATTAGTTGCTGAATGTGTTTGGGAAATAAGAGATAAAGATAGAAGAGGCAAAGTATGGAACGAACAACTAAGACCCGCTATGTTTGAGATGAAGAGAGCAATTGACGCCTTAGTTGTTTTAGCAGGTCAAATTTCAATGTATAACGCAAAAATGAACCCGCAATGTTCAAAATGTAAGGCAGCGATGAGGAAATATAACTACTCCGTCAAAGAGATAGAAAGAATGAGAAACGACTATGCAGATTTAAAGAAAGAAGTAGAAAAGCCAGCAGAAGATAAAATGGACATGTTAGCATTTCTGAACAAAAATTATCCAACTGCTGACGATTTCCTTCTATCTGACGTCAAGAAGAAATATAAAGAAACCTTCGGCATTGTTAAAACATTCGATGTACTAAAAGAAGAAATAGAAGCTACAAAACTGTTTAAAGTCATGAACCATCGCAACATATACCATGTAAAACGCTTGTAAATAGTTATGTTAGAAAAGAGGTTAGAAAACGTGTTAGATCTAACATGCTAACAAAACATTATTTTTGCTGAATTCAGCACAAAATTCTGAGTAAAATGACATATGGCACGTGTCAAACCGTTGAGTTTTCACAAATTTTAAAAATTGCTGCGGAAAGTTCGTCAAAAAAGTGAAGGTTCCCGACGGTTTCAAACCGCCATACTTTACATGAAGATAGTTTACAATGTCAACTAAATATCATGTACGATAGAAACGGTTATGTAAAGTTTACATTTTGTAAAGTTTTGTCCTGATTCAAGACAAGTCTTGTATTTTTCAGAACAAGTCTTGTATTTTTTCAGAACAAGTCTTGTCCTGATTCAGAACAAGACTTGCACTTTTTAGTCAGTTTTTCTTGTAAAGTTCTCAAATTTGAGAACAATTGTCCTGATTCAAGACAAGTCTTGTATTTTTTCAGAACAAGTCTTGTATTTTTTCAAGACAAATCTTGTCCTGATTCAAGACAAGTCTTGCACTTTTTCAGGAAATCCTATCGTCCAACTACAAATGTCACTTTTCAACATGATTGCATTTTGGTCGGGGGACAACTTTCTCTCAATTTTGCCACTTTTTCTATCGTCGTGTTTTGTCACTTTTCCCTCAGGGTGTGTGTCAGAAAATATCCAAAATCTTTATAGCCTCGTATCTCCTTCAATTCTTGACGTTTGACATGTATGACACACCATTCAATTCAGAATTATGTGCTGAATCTATGACCTTCATTTGTTCGTGACTTCTTTTCACATATGTAAACATGAATTTTAACATTTCTTTATCACAGAAAAATAAAGTTAGTTTTATTTTTTATTTATTTTTTTATTTTGTATGTAAAGACAGTAATGTCAACATCAGAGAACACAACAACTGCTATCGTTCATGAAGCATTAATGAAGAATACGAGTACATACAGTATAACAAACAGTTACGTCTCATTCGTCGGTCAAAGATGACATGTATCAAATGCAAAGTATAATGAACGCTCTTCTTTCTACAAAGCAAGCATATCATTGGTTTGAAAACCAACAGGAAAAGAACTTTTAGAAGAACATATGATTGCTTCCCTCGGAAAACGAGGGAAGAGATTCCGTACGAAAATCGCAAGAATTTGGCACCTGGTTTGAAAGGTTATTATGTTCATAGACTTTTAGTAAATGCTGTAGCAATGTGGGCTTTCACCTCGTTATGCTTGTTATATTTTCATGATGTTAGATGAACTATATAAAAGCAAACGTGGAGAGATGGAAAAGAAACTTCAAGCAAAAGATGAAGTCATTGAATCCAAAGACAAAAGCATACAGAAAAGAATACCACGTTCGGTACCAAAAGGAAAGGAAAAGAGTTATAAGATGATATATACTGAAGAGTTGGAGAAAGAAAGAAAGATAGAGATATGGTTATGTTGCATTTAGTCAGAAGAAACAACAAAAGCTTTTATGACCTTGCTAAGATTTACAAATCTGACAGAAACTGGTTCTATCGTGAAAACTTACCGATTTCAATGACACCGAATGAGCAAATAAAGGAAATTGTCAAAAATACTCTTCCTCAAACACACTATTGACATCAAAGGTTGCACAATACTTACATTCAAAGAAGACTTAACATTACTGAAGGAAAAAATAACAGAATATTTCGATAACTCAAAGAGGAAGAATAAAAAAATCTAAGCTAATTTTATTTTTTTTATAAAATTTTATCTCATATGAAAGAACATGAATTTAGAATATTCGGAACTCATGACAGAAGAAGAGAACGAACAACATGTAAAAGATTATGCAAAATTTCTGAAGACATACAAAGCATTTAAACAATATCTAAATGCTTCTAAAGATTATGCAAAATTTCTGAAGGTATATAAAGCTTATGAAAAAGCGTATGAAAAGTTTATACATTGGGGAATTGTTGTAAAATATCGATATGAAGACTAACCAAAAATATATTTTTGCTTAAATGACGTCAGGGTCAATTTCTTCAACCATTTCACTTCCTTCGTCAATGTCAATAGAAGCTTCTTCAACCTTTGTAAGAACTTTTGTATAACATCTTTGTTCTTATTGTTTTCAGAGATGAAGAATAATATTTCACATTTGTTTCACCCTCTTATATTCTTTTCTGTTCGGAAAGATTCATAGCAATACTGAAGAAGTCAATGTTGGAGTTCTTTATAATATATAATGAGTATCTTTGACATTCACGAAGAAACCCTTTTGTTTCAAAACTACTGCTAACTCTTGTGAAGTATAACGTTTGCGGTCAATGACAATAGCTAATGGTCTGACATACTGACCAAACTTAGATTCTTTCACAAACTTCTTGTTAAAGATAACATTGACGTTTGAAGCATTATTGAACTCATTCTTGATGACAGTAGCGAGAGCATTGTATGAAAAGAACTTGCAATCTTGCATGTGTTTCATTAAAATAAAAATATTAAATTATTTTGAAAAATAACTTAAAAAAAATCTAATCTAATTTTTTCAAAAATATTTTTTTTATTTCCTACTAAAGATGTATCGGAAGTTGTCTAAGTTAGAACACTCGGAAATAAAACAACTTCTTACAGAAGCTAATATAGATGTTGCAAAGCATTACACAACAAACAAAAAGGCACTCGCTGACATCCTCAATGACTATAATGGTGAAATAACTTATGATAGAATTCATGAGTTCATAAAGCCGCAACGCGGCGAGGACGAAGTCCATGCAAGAGCATTTCCTTTAAATGACGTTGCTATTGACTTATATCATAGACGTTCAATACCTCATGAAGTAAGAAGAGAAATGTTTGACATAACAAATGCAAACGTTGGTCATACTCGTAAAGCTCTTTCACATGACGTTCGTCAAGAGATGTTTGACATAACAAATGCAAACGTTGGTGAAACAAGAAGAGCTGTACCACATGAAGTAAGAAGAGAAATGTTTGACATAACAAATGCAAACGTTGGTGAAACACGAAAGAGAGATGACACACTGAAACAACAGAGAAGAGAGATGTTTAAAAGTGCTATAGAACAAGTTCGCAAAGCTAATATGTCATTCGTTCCATTGACGACAAACCAAAAGAAGGTGAGAGATGGTTAAAGAAAGATGAAGAAATAGGAAGAGAATGTGAAGTCAGGCAATAGACTCATTGACTTTAACATCGAAGCTTTAGATGAACCAAACAGAGACTACTTACACAAACATTTTGGTAAGGTTTTCATGAGACTCTTAGAGAAAATTAAAATAAACTCCCAACAGAGATGGATGGTATGTTATAAACTTGGTGGAAAGTATGAATGTTCTACGTTAAACCTCAATAATATTGGAACATTACTACATCAGCTCTTGAAGGAGAACTTTATATCAGAGATAGAAGCAAATGCTGCAGGTATTGTTGAAATGCACTATGACTTCTTCTTGACAAACATAAAGAATCTTACGAAATAAAGATGTATGATTTAACAGAATATGAAGGCTTAACGATGTCAGATGTAAAGAAAGGCAAACCAAAAAAGAGACCATATAGAGATGAAAGCACACTGACAAATGACCAGAAAGCCATTTTGGAAGCTCTTAAGCATAGTAAAGCTGTAACAAAAATGACTTAGACGCATGACAACAGTGTTTGAAATCTCATAAACACAATCTCTCGAGTATATAATGAACTTGCATATGCTACATTAAATATGTTATAGCGGACAAGAAACCTGTTCATTATATAACTTTCAAGACGAACAGATTATTAACGGACTACATGCGTATTTACACGAAGTGAATGAAAGCGAAGACAAAAATGTTAATCAAAGAGATATAAATACATTCGTGCTAAAGGTTTATGACATAAGCTGTACTGTACAGTATTGAATGTAGCATAAGCACCAGAAGCATTTCGGTTATACCGTGACATTTTAGCCTCTAACTTTCAATGTTAACGGTGTATTTAGTTGAAACAAGATTTTATTGTTAAGAGTTAAGGCAAAAATAACGTTTGAAGATGCTATTACAACAGTAAAAGCTGACAAAGTTGAACTCGAAGCAACGACACAAAGTTTTTGAAAACTCATAAACACACAAATCTCGATATAAATGAATATTCATTAGCTACATTAGACAGTAAAGCCTAGACACAGAACCATACACATAAATCCATTCACTACTGTTAGAGCAGGACGACATAATATTTGAAACTTTGACCCTTAGGTTCAAGCTGCACCATTAGAAAATCCAAGTTACAAGCGTAAAAGATTACTCTCTAACAGTTTTAGATAAGAGTGCAGGAACATGAAAGTCATGCCAGAAACTTTGAAGCATATGAACTACCAACAATGTTAGCATAAGAAAAGCCAGACAAAACTTATGTAGATGAAGACCTATCAAAGAAATTTTCGAAACAGATACAATGACATTAAACAGAAAATTTTATAAATGGTGAACCAGCAACTCATTTGAATTTGTTTAGAGGTCTTCAAACCAGATACTTTTTGAATTTTTCTTGATAAATTCTATTGAACTAACTTACATTATAAAAGTGGAACAAAATGCAACATTTTCATCCGGGAGATAATTCCAAATTGGTATTTAATGAATAAGTTCTTTAGATATGTTTATAGAAGTTATTAGCATTATTGATTTATATATCCTATAGAGTGTTTAACGTCCTATGAATCCAATAAATCCAAACACTTTATTTGTGGTAGATGGTATGAAATAGTTGACAGTTTTCCATTTACACACAATACTCAGTTCAATGACAGATTGGAGGTTACAAAGAAATATAGGTATTGAAAACCTTTCCTTCACATATGCATTACGGTTCAGTGGAAGAAATCTGTGGAAGGAAACCCATTCACATTCCAATAACAAAAAGAGGTTATACAAATCTTGCAGCGGGTTCGGATAGAAGGGAATGCATAGATATAATAACAACTGACCCCAAAGTGTTTAGCACAAGGATATTTTTCTGTGGAACTGCAGGA